GGCTTTCAGGGCCTGTGTAGACAAATCATACAAAGGCCCTGATATTAATAATCAGTCATTCTGTAATTAGCATTAAATATGATCATTTCCAGGACCGGTCCTGTGGAAACCTGGCAGTGTATAAAAGAATCGTGCAAAGAAGCGAGCTAAAATTTCTGTATACAGCAAACCATACGCTTTCCATAGGCTTATGGAAAGGAGTTAGAGCTGGCCTGAAAAGGTCAGTCATGCTCTGCAACAGGCGTGATGGAGGAGCTTACACTGGCATAGCCATCGGTTTAGCGACTAGCAGCATAACTGCCATGGAAAGTTAATTCCTGTATAGACTCAACCCTGACTCACGGGTTTGTGGGCAAGAAAAATCTAGAAGCAAGAGTGGCGAAACATCAAAGGTGGTGAAAGGAGGGAGAGAAGACTGAGCGAAGAAGAGAGGGGAAGAGGAGCCGGGAAAGCGAAGGGGAAACCTTCTCAGCTCCAGGGGCAATCAGGCGTTTCGGTACGTTTGAGGGAAACGGCGTGGAAAGGTAAAGTAGTAAGATGAGGCCCTGTGGGAATGTGCAGACAGACAGACATGGGCAAGAGACCTACAGATCAAGGAAGGTGACTTGCAAGAGAAGGGATTAGTGGGCAGAGGAAGCAGCTGAGAGGCTTAGATACGGAGTAGTTAAGGAAAAAAGTTTATTTTTAAAAGTTATTATTCTCTGCTTTTTCTTCTAGGCAAACTTTGTTCAAAATATATCACCATCCTTAAAATACTTGGCTTGAGTCATGTTCCAGCTGCCCATCACCTTCTCAGGCCAAGCCGCACCTTCCCAGTCCCAATGGCGCAGGAAGCATTTCCAAACACAACCTTAGACCCTACTAGGCCCCCTCCATAGGCACCAAGGTATTTTCTGTGCTTTGCACAAAACCCAAGGTTTTCCCTCCCCACCTTTGAGACCACAGGCACCTCTCCTGCCCTTCAGGTGGGGCGAGCTATTTGGTGCTGAGCCTGGCCCCGCGCAGCCTCCCCGGGAGGGCGCAGGGCAGGGGCAGGCACCGCAGGCAGGGCACCGAGAGACCTCGCTCCATCACGGCGGACAAGGAGAGCCAAAATGCAGCAGAGATTGAGGAAACGGTCCAGCGATAACTTGTGGAAATGCGTTTCTCTGAGGGAAAGTGAATGGGAGATCTTTCACTGAAAGGTTTAACTAACTTGGGGTTTTTTTTCCCCATCTAAATCCCTTTGAATATTACCGCCCTGTGCTCCCCCAGTTTGGATGTGCAACTGCTCACAGCAGGTTGCAAGGGGCACTTAATTTCTTGAGTGCTGCAGGAAAACTAGGTTTTAGAGAGGCTGGGGGGTCATGGTCTGCAGTGTGTGCCAGCGTGTGAGCACAGAGGCTTCAGGACTGGTGAAGCGAGCCCTGGAAACCCCATCCCATGGTTGTAAATAGGTGACTGTGATTGACAGGGATGCTTCAGAGAAAGGACAGATTTTGGAAGACTGTTGCAAAAGGATGTTGCCACCTCCAGATGTGTCTGACAGGAGCAGCTCCTCGGAGGAGCCGCACAGGCTGGCAGTCCATGGGCAAGGTGGGCGGAGGCAGCGGCGGTGCTGTCCCTGCCTTGTCCTCGACGGCTCGCTGCTTTGGTCCCTTCTGTGTAGTTGCAGCCGTGGGCAGCGGGGACAGAGTGGACAGGGATGGTGCCATGCCACCCCATGCCAGCCCTGCATGGAGAGTGGCTGGGGCAGCCCTCTTCATCCCTAAAACTTTACACTCACCCTTTAAGCAGGGTTTGCAGCAGGGGGGGATCTCAACCCGTGTAAAGACAGTGTGGATGTTTTGTGCCTTGACAGCAATGAGTCCAAGTGCAAACCGTGTGTGATCTGAATATCCTACAGTTACACCTTGGAAACCCTAATAAAGCTGCCTCTGAACCGCATACGTGGAGCAGATGCCGGGACCGGGAGACAGAGGCACCTTTTTTACTCCTTGGGAGCACCCGCCGGGGTAAGTGACACCTGGCTGGGGCACCGCCAGATCGTCGGGCCAAAGGCTCAAGTCCCGCAGCCCTCTGAAAGCCACGTCTACTTTTAAGGGCTGTGTGTACAAAGTGGCGTGTGTTGGCCTCTGTAAACAACTTAGCAGAAAAGGCAAAGCAGAGCTGTGCAACACTTGCCGTGCTGCCTGCAGTCTGGGAGATAACAGCTTAGTGCTGCCCGCCGTTGGTCAAAATGCTCCTTTAAGGCAAATGACGGAGAAACATCACCTGGCGCTGTATTGCCAGGATTCGGCCCAGCTGATGAACTGTTGAAGGGTTTGATAAGACAGGATAATTCTTCCAAGTCGCTGTTGCCCCACATTGCACAGCGTATAATGAAATAAGGACATTCAGGAAGGTTAAACCAGCTAAAGGAAGGCAGTGATCTCACGGAGCTGCACAGCCTCTTTGATGAACACCGTCTTTTGTTGCCTTTCAGTCAGGGGCCTGAGCTGTGCCTTAGATTGCATCAGGCTTTTACCATAATTTCTGAGAGCTCAGCTTTTGTAGATTCACTTCTACATGAAAAGCTCTTGAAAAGTGCAGTAGTCAGCAACTTCACAGCAAAGCAAATTTTCCAACAAGTATTAATGTAATTGGGGGGGTGGGATGTGTGCTGGAGCTTAAGAAACACAATTTAAATACACAGGGACAATAGATACAACAAGGAGGATGGAGAGGCAGGAACAGGATCATCACCTGGATTTTGGAGCCTGTCTTTTTGCTGGCTGGAGAAGCTAGTCACTTTTTAAAATAGAAATCAAAAGGTGGATGCTCACTGGTGTGAGGTTCTGATCATCAGATGTCTCAACGATGTGCTCTCAAATCCTGCAATGCACCAGTGACCTCGTCCAACCACTCTTGGAGCAGGTCATCAGGGGGGAGGTCTCAGCCTCCTCCTCTACAAGACCAAATGCGCCATGTGTATCTCCCAGCGTGAGTGCTCTTGCTGCCTCTTTCTAAATGGCTGCATTTTTGTCTTCATGGCCATCTCCCTCAGGTACCTGCTACTTGTCAAGGTCAATCAAATCACTCGGGAGTGAACCATGGTAAAACGGGGTTAGGGCAATGCTTAGCAGAGCAGGGTATGAAATAATCAGTCACAGAAGTCCCGACTGATGTACAGAAGCAGTGGGGTTTATGTGGAAGGGCTGATGCAGTGGGAGAGGCTGCAGCCACCTCAGAATAGCCATGGGGATAGCCTAAGGGAGAGTCTAGAGGACAGCCTAGGGTATTAGCTTACATGATAGCCTATGGGATAGACTGCAAAAGCCTAGAGATAGCCTAGGGGGTAGCCTCCAGGACAGCTTACGGGATAGACTGTAACATAGCCTAGGGGATAGCTTACAGGATAGCCCACAGGGTAGCCCTACAGTGGCAAGGGCTCTCTCCTGGAAGACTTCAAGTGCCTGCTCCAAGCTGGCAGGGGAAGGATGTGAAGCAAAGGCTTGCACCTTCCAGAAGAGTCACCTTGCTACTGGCTCTGAGAGCATTAGGAGTACTGCTGGCATCGGTCCGAAAGGCCAGCCTGGCTCTGGCTCCCAGACTGGCTCCAGGACCTGCTCAGCCCCACGGGCTCTTACGAATCCCCTTCATACAGCAAATGAGCCCTGCCCGCATGTTGCAAGGGGCAGCTAAGGCTACACTTCGTGCAGTGCTGTAGCCCGCAGGGCCATGTTGGCCTCCTCTGCAGGTCAGCTGTGACTTGCTCATGTTGCAGTGAGGGCCCCGGGGTGGGCAGGGAAGGCAGCAACAACCCCGCTGCCACAAGCCCAACTCTCCCAGACTGCAGCGCAAAAGAGACCGGGAAATGTTTTTGCAGCTCCTCCGTCAGAAGCCGCAGAAAACACCAAGAGCTAACGCTCGCAGGATGAGCTGTTTCCAGCCACCGTGCATGCTTGCAGCCCATCAGCCAGCCTCTCCCCTGCGAGGGCGGAGGAGCCACCGTCTCCAAAGCTCTCTCCCCTCCGTGACCAAGTGTCACCCACTGCTGCCGCTGCCGCTGCTTCAGCTCCCCACAGGCGCCGGCACTGCAGCACAGCACAGACACGCAGCAGATGGCACTTGGCATCCACTCAGAGAATCGACTGTCAGATGCTTTGCTCCCTCCTGGTTTTCAGCTGCGCCTTCCCATGGGAGATGCCTTTGCCAGGATACTTCACGTTCCCTTAAATAACAAATTCCTTCGCTCCGGGGGTAGCATGGACGGCGTTGGGGGAGAGCATGGGCTTTATGATTTCTTCGTGCTTCTGGAGCTTACAGAGAAAAAAAAGCTACTTGTTTTTTCTTTCTGTCCTTGTAATGGTAACAGGAGGGATGTGGAAATTAACCTGCCAAGTTTGGCCTGAGACAGTCTGATCCCCGGCTGCAGCTGGTGTCTGAAAGGACACTCCCAGCACAGGGCACAGCTGGGAGCCTGTCACATCGCTTGCAGGGTGCGGGCAGCTCACCAGAAAGGTCGGCACTAATTAATAATTACAGTCCTATTTCATCACAAAAACAAATGACATCCCTCACCACCCTGATGAAGGAGGTTCCCCCCCCCCCCGCCCCAGTCCTCCCCCGGGGGACAAGTGCCACTTGGTCTTGTGCATAACGGGAGCTCATCAGCCCCAGGATCAGAGCTACAATGCGGGTGCCCAGCAGCCCTCAGCCCTAAAGCCAAGAGGGGTTGTTGCTATGGGAATCGAGAGGGCACTTGGCAGACAGCATCTGGAGCCTGTGTCTTTCCCTGTCCAAGGCAGCTGGATTTGGAGGGAAGCAAAACTAAAAGGAGGTGGCAGAGAGAGACAGAGGCACAGCAAAATGCATGCATGTTAGAGGAGGGACCTTCCCAGAATGAGAGTACAGTGGGATACAGAAGAGCGGGGACACCAAACTGTCAGGCAGTGGTGGCTCGGCTTGGTAGGATAAACCTTATTTTCTGCTCTGTTTGACACTGGAAAAAGGTCCAGTGAAAGCCCAACTGTAACAAGATGGGATCTGCCTCCTCAACTTACCGGCCCAAGTGTATTTATTTGGATATTGATGGAAGAATTCAAAAGGTACTTTTGCTGTTTTTCACAAAGTAGTGTCTCCAGACGCAGCAGCGGCTGCGGGCTGTGTTTGCTGCACGAGCTATTTCTGTAACGCGAGTTAGACGCGTGTTTGCATTCAGCGGCAGCAGGGGAGGGCTGGGCGCTGCCAGCTCTCCCTGCCTGTGTGGGGATCCTTGCTTTAGCAGCCGTGTAGGCTTCCTCTCCTGGAGTAGCGTTGCGACGTGTTTACAAAGTTTTGCCTGCAGAGAGGTTTTCACCCAAGCAGTGGGAGCTGGAAAGCACGGCATAACGAGTTATTTGGAGATTGCCTGCTGGGGGGGGGGGGGGATTTAGTGATGGACGGTTTCCTACTGCCAAGCTGAACGGCAGGCAGGTGCCCGGCTGTTGTGCGATGGGGTGTGCCGCTGCATCGCCGGGGGGCTGCGGGGTCCCCGCCACCTTCGCCAAGTTGTTTGTAAATGCCGATAAACGTTAATTAAAACTTCCACTTCCATTAGCCTGCCTTGTTTGCTTAGCCACGGTTCACAGCACAGGGAAAACTGTGGGAGAAATGGATTCTGGCTAAAAGGGAGAGCTCGCATGCTGTCGAGCTGACAGCCCATTGCTTTTGAACAGAAACAATGCCGCCACGTTTTTTTTAAGTCATCTTTTTGTTCTTTTTGTCAGCAATTCTTTGGCCACAAACCAAGTGCCTTTTTTGTAATAGAGTGAAAGCAGCCATGAGGCTCAAGAGCAAGTAAATGCTGACCTGCAAAATCCAAATCTCTCCCTCCCGTCTTCCTGCTCTAAATCTTCATTTCACCCAGCCTCGCCTTTTGTTTCTCCTTTAAAAAGGAAAAGCAAAGATGCCCTTTCCCTTCCCTCCCTTTTGCTGTATGAATGACCACAGAAACGAGGTAAAGGGAGAGCTGATACTCACAGTCCCGTCCCACCACGCACGCCTCTGTTGCCTATGGTCCCCTTGGTCACTGCCCTGGAGACCCACCAGGACTGCCAGAGTCCTGTCCTCAGGAACAAGACCTCGGAGAATCCAAATCTGTGCCAGGTCCCCCACAGCAGGTTGCTCCTCTTCATCCATCTCGGGGCTTAGACGTGATGGTGGTCCCTCTGCCACTGCGGGCTCCACCGTACCAGCGAGCAGGAGCGTGCCAGCTCCGCTGAGCCGAAGGTGCCGCTTCTCCTTTGCTGGGACTTAATGAGTTGGTCGCCTGGCAGCCCCCAGAAGCAAGGCTTGTACAGAACTCCCTGGCACCTTTACTGTTCAGTACGAAAATGGTTCGGTATTTTGAAAGGGTGGCGAGTGTTTCCATAGATGTTGGTAAAGCACATTGTCTGTCATCTACTCTGGTTTTAAAAAAAATAGCATTTCTCAGAACCAGTCTCTGGAGAGTAATTTTTGACACTAAAAACGCAGAAGAGGCACAATCGCATGAGCAAGCAAATGAAAACTCAAGCAGCATTAAGGTTTTTTTGCTCAATAAATGTTATCTGTTTCTTTTGTCAGATGTGAAATTCCATCTGTGCAATGTTTGGAAGGATTCCTGCAGTAAAAATGCTGCATAAATGGGGTTCACCCAGGGGTAAGCAGGGCATATCTCAGATTCTCATGCCTCCTCAGTAACAACATCATTAGAAAGAAAAAAAAAAGCAACCCTTAATCTTCCAAGGAATGCAGTATTGGAAGCTTCTAAAGGGAACTCATTAAATCAATGCTGAGCTACTCATCAACCCAGTAATAAGGTATGAGCTTCGTTATAACAGCACTTGTTGAGTTTGAAAGGGCTCAGCTCCAACTTGCAACTGGTTTGCTGGACACCGCAGAGCCATGCAATAGAACTGGGCATCCTATGATAGTGCTAGCTGGGATGGCAATTATTCACAGGTAATTCTGTGTTTCCACAGCCTCATTCTGAATTTCCACCAGTGCAGCCACAGGGCGTGCTACTGACTTTGGGAGAAGTTGTTTTGCCTCGGCACTGGGGTAAATGAAGGGACACACCAGGCTCAGAGAGCCACATGCCGCCTCCCCCAGGAACCTGCGCATTGCAGATGAGCACTTGAAAGTGCTCTGCAAGAGGAGCGTTGGATTAAGCTAAGTAGGTTTGTGTGTCAGCAGGTCCAGAGGGGCACAGCGGGGAGGGCAAAGGGATGCAGCAGTTGTTGGAGGAGGCTTTGCTGGCTTTGAAACCCTTCTCAGTAGTTGTTGAAACAAAGGAGGCACCGCCAGCAGGGGTTGAACGCAGGACTGTGCCTGAGGCCAGCACGTCCCAGAGGAAGGGCTGAGGTCCATACCTGCAAGGCCAGTGCCACGAACACCCAGTAGCCTCCTGCGGGAGGGCGGTGGGAGGCTGAGAGCAGAGGGGAGCCCAGCCCAGTGCTGCTGTGCATCACTCCTACATCACACTGGGGAAGCCTAGCCCTCGCCTCAGTAACTTCCTCGGCTCCTGCCCTTTCCCCTTGGCCCCATCCCACCTGCACCCGCAAAGGCTCCTGGTCATTTGTCGTAGTTTGGTAAACTGACCTTTCAGAGGCATGGGCAGGCACAAAATGGTCTTCGCCAAACCTGACCACAGGGACGAGCTCTCCTCCAATGGGCAGAGTTGACTGAGCATCTCCCCATGCTGGGGCAGCACGGGCTCTGCTTTGGGAGGGACACGAGATGACCCACCCCGGCCCAGCAGACACCAACCGTGGAACACCCCACAGGCACCTGAGCTCAAGATCCCCAAAGGGGTGGCTTTTGTGTCCATCAGGGGAAGGGTTTGGGCTGCTGGTAGCTGTGTCCTGGCCAAGGGGCAGGGATTGGGGGATCTCCCATGGGGCGGCCGCCTGCCAAGCTGGTGGAGGTAGAGCCAAACATGAAGCAGGAGGTGGAGGGGACAGCTGTGCCAGGGCTGCTGGAGAGGGAAGATCAAAGGCTTTGCAGCATTACAGCCACACGCCGAACCCGGGCTCTGTGCAAACCGGCTTCAAAGAGGTCGCTTGTTCTCAGAGCTGGTTGAAAAATGAAGTTACAGTGTAATATGCTTCCTATCCAGTGCCTACATAAAGGGGATGCACGCCTAGGGGAAACAAGCGCTGCTCAGTTTATTTATTTTTAAAGGATCCTCTCCCCCGGAGACACCCAGCCGTTCATTACCCGCTTGCCTGGACACACATCTCCCTCTGCGCGTCACACGTGTGCCCAGGGCTTAGCACACCCAAGAAACACATCCGCATCCCACCCCTGCCACAGCCTGGTTTGCTGCCAGGCAAAGGAGAAGACGGCGGGATGGGGGGAAGCCATGGCCGTGTTTCATATAGGATAAGGTGATTTTGCAGTACCACCGTGGATGGGATTTCTCGTTGTTCCTGGAGTGCCACTAGATGGGGTCAAGCACCCAAACCCCCAACGTGCAAGCAGAGAAGTGAGATTTGCTACTCCAAACTTAAGCCGAATCTGGAGTCTTATTTTCTTTCATAATGTTATTAACCCTTTGGCTGCGTTTTTAAGAAAAATTCCTATTGAGTCTGTTTTGAATTAAAAATCCACCAGCAAGAAAACGTTCCGCAGCCCCTGTCCAAATTTTTTTCCATGAAGAAACTATTGGGGAGCATTTTATTTTGACCTTTGAGATTTAAATGGCAGCAGAGCCAAACCAGCCATGGCCATATTCCCAGATGAGTGGCTTCGTGCCTCTTATTTTCAAATGTCACAGGTAGTGGCTTTGCTCACAGAGCTGTAAGTTGTTCCTCTCAGAAAAATGCTTAATTTGAGAGGATTTCTGTTTCCAGTGTCTTAATCAGCATCACATTTGTAACAAGGATGGAAAGTCAGAGGGGTACAGAGCCTGAGCTAACTGGAAAAAAGAAAAGGACCGCTGCCTTTGTCAAGGATTCAAGGAAATCACTCAGGGTGGTATTTTCTTCCTTTTCAGAAAGCAAGTAAAGAATTTTGGAGCCATTTTGCTGGTTGACTGAGTCATTCTGGATGCCAAACAGAGAAATGACCTTTTTTTTCTCAAAGAAATGTATTGAGTTCAACCTTTCTGGGTGTCTACTGGACTGACCTGTGGAGCAAGACACTAATCCACCCACAGCCATTGTTCTTCTTGGCCCGAGGTCCATGACGAACAGAACAAAGCTAAGACTGCATTTTGGTGCTGTGGTTATTGCATTGAAACATCAGCGCATAGGAATCATTTCAGTCATGTGAGCTTTTCTTTTTAATTAGAGCAACAGCAACTGTGGTATAAATGCCTAGACTCTAGCAAACCCAACAGATTTTTCCAAAGCTTGCTGTGCTATTTTTAACACGCCAAACTGGATTCAGATTAAAAACAAAACACAGCAGAAAAATAATGGCGTGATGATTGGTTCAAGGCGATTAAATATTTTTGCATCCCTGTGACTCTCTTGGCACAGCAGGGCAAGCATGCTCTGTGGTGTCTGCGGACCCAGTTCCCTGTCTGTTTGGACTGGGGATTTAGAGCAATACCCTTTCAGGTTCCAGCCGTCGGAGGGGTGCACAGAGGTGGGATTCATGGGCAGTCGGGACATGGACACCTCAGGGGGCCGCTCTGCCTGGCCCATGCTCGCAGGTTCCTCCCACGCATAGACAAGCTGATGCCAAAACCCTCTTTAGCATGGTGAGGCATAAGTGTGGTTTTGCGGGATCAAGGCCATTTTCTTAGCGCTGGCAGATCTCTGTGGACGAGGGAAGGTGCAAGGTAGCACAGCCTGAGTCTGGCCAGTGGTCTTGGCTCACCTTGGCTCTCTGATTTTAGCTGGCCCCAGTGAATTCAGGGCAGGTGCTAGATGTTCTCGTTGTAAAGCAGCAAGAAACGAACAGCGGGTTCCTAAAACACCGCCGCATTACAGCACATAAACATTTTAAAGAGTAAAACTGACTTAAAACCAGGCTTTGAAAAAAGTGAGAGAAAATGTCATACTTGAGGCCTTTCTCTCTCCTACTCACCCTTCTCTTTCCTCCCCATCAAGGGCTCCTCAGAGCATTTAGAGCACCA